CATACTTCAAGAACAGCTACTCCTTTAAGAACAGAAAGCCTGTGGTTTGCCAGCCATTTTAAAAATAATAGAACATTAAAGTGAAAGTAAATCACAAATTTATTACATTCTCATGCAAGCAGATGATATTTATTCAGCTTAAAGACAGGTATTTAAAACAGGGTTTAGAACTGTTTCTTCTTTAGTTAGATCCACTATCTCTCTCTCCATTTCAGTTAGTTAAAAATATGTCAGGATATTGTCAAAACTTGCTAAAGACTGCCCCAGTACATCACAAAATTTTAATCACTGCAAAGAAAGCGCATTTCAAATCTCAGTATGTGGCAAACTATATATACATGCACACAAAAAACTGCAGTTCAGACAGTGAACTGATAACCACATTACATAAATACATAAAAATAGAGGTCCGAGCATACACTCTTATTAGCTCCTGATTAAGAGCACAATGCATGTCGTAACCAAAAATTCTTTATAGTGGGTTAAGAGATAAACCCTTTAGAACCCTAAACCATCACAGAGGGGTGTCAAAACAACCAGAAATGCCAAGGTTTCCAGCTTAATGACCTTAGTTTTTCTAAAGAGCCTATTGTTCACTTGACCTGACTTATGGTTCAAACAGGAAAAAAAAATCCTGTTTTTTTCATAAGCACTTCTATTTTACTGAGACAGAATATTGCTCATTCATGAATCAGGAAAGTTTTGCAGTGACAGTTTTATTGGCCCAGTTCATAAATGTGTCATGTCATTTGTAACCAGTGCAACAGCAATAATAATATTACAAGACATGCGGAATATACAATTTTTCTTTCTTCCTGATGGCTGATAAACAAAGTCTTTCATTCCATAAGGCTGGGAATCATTGTAAGGTTTGATCTCCAGCTGCTGTAAATCAGAAATTTCATATTTCAAGTTGATATATACAAGTGCTGATTTCCATAGCTTTAGAACACAGTTCTAAAGAGGCACAGGTTTGGACATCCACTCATCTTTATATGAAAAAGAGGCTGACAGATAATTGATAGTAAGTTCAAATTTTTGTTGTCACAATTTTCCTACCAAAGGAAGATCTACAAAATGCCCTTTTTATTACAGAACCAAAAAAAAAAAAAAATCATTAGTTTGATAGTTGCACAGTGTCTTCCAAAACCCACAAATATATCAAAAAGATTCATGCTAGGAAAAAATATATATTTAAAAAAAATCAAAGCTGAGGAATAATTTCACAGTGTAACTTTGTAACGAGCCCCTAAAGGAAATATCTGTTTCTTTTGTTCCCCTCTGCAAAGCTATGTAATTGATTCCTAACTGCTGTGTTAATGCTCCCTATTCCTGTCAGAATTCCTTTGGAAATACATGAAAGTAACCAGGACTTTTTCCTGATGCAGCTTCTTGAATGCTGGAACCGGGGATTCTCTTCCATACATCACATTTCAGGCAGTGGGCCACAGTGAAAGCTTCAGTGGCGAAGGGGTGATAAATATTAATATGGAAGAATAAAGTATACCAAATTGTATACTGAAATGTAGAGCAAATCAGGAAATTGTTTACTGTTATAATGAAAGACATTTTCTTACAGACACTGTTATGTTCCAACAGAAAAAAAAAATATCAAAGTATATATGTTATCACTTGGTTTATTAACTTCTTTATAGACCAGCTTGCAAAATTTCAAATAACTTTATAGACCAGCTTGCAAAAATTTAAATAATGATAAAGTGTTTTCAAAGAAAGGATTTGGTCTTCATCAAGATCAAGAATTAGTCTGGTTCTCCATGACCTTTCTATGCCTTTTGCTGTACACACACACACAGAGTAATAAAAGAATGAAGTAGAAGGGATTTGGCCCAGCTCCTGAATTATAACCCAGTGACTGTTACAGAGTTGTGCATGAAAGCCTGTCTGCCTGGACAGAGCCAGTGACATCAGGCAATCTCTCTTCAACAAACAAGGAGAGAAATACAGGAAAGATGCGATTCATTTTTTTACCTGTGGTACCTAATTAAACTTAATTAAGGTTGTGCTGAGGGATCTTGAGCAGCATGCACAAGGGATATCTGCTTCCTGATTGTTTTTTAGCTTTGAGAAAGCTTTCCTTTGAGAAAGGAAGGTTTCCTACCACAAAGAAAAATGTCCTTATGAAATACATGTGCTCAATGTTCCAATCTAAATTTAATAGATAAAACATCAGTGCTAGTCAAATGTTTTTTAAATGACCTAAAATTACAGTAAAGAAGATTCTCTAGCCTTCTAATTAAGATTTAAAAAACAAAAAAAAAAGCCTTACCAATCCACCATTTGAGTATATGTTCCCTTAAACAGCACTAAAGTTAATAATTATTTTTATCACCGATTTGAAACTGACTAACCTGATGACTCTAAAAATTAATGAAGCTTGGCAGCCACACAACTTACTGCAATCTGCTCTTCCACTACGGGTCATCGTCTCAAGTTTCACAGCTACAGACACCATTGTTTTACTATGTACATCCTTGATTTCATTACATACTGGGTGGCAGTGTAGAAGGATTCTTAAGAAAGGAATAACTTAATACAAAATTGCAAAATTAAAAATAAAAATTATTTTAACACATCAGATTATAAATAGTGGAACCCTTAGGGAAGGGTGTGTCTCCTGATTCTTATTAGAATGACACTACTTGATAAAAGAGCCTTGTTTAAACAGATTATAACTTCAGTGCTGCCTGGTCTGAAATTTTTCACATTGCATATCTGACTTAGAATTTTCTTTCTTTGTGGAAAATTTCAGTTAATATAATTTAGCAATTTCTGAGATTGCAGCAGAGACAACAACAGTAATACACTGCATCAACAGATTAACACGAAATCTTGTTTTAAATTCTGTGGTTTGTGGCAGAAAATAAAATTTGGAAGTGAACTGGCTATGTCTGGGATTAAATGAGAAAAGGGAGACTGATGTTATTGGAGAGGATGATAACAAACAGAGATTTGAAAGCACAGTTCGCTCCCCACCAAAAGGGACGGTCGATCTATTCATGTACTTCATTTGATATGTGGAAATTCTAAATTAAAGAATTTATGATCAAGACAGTTGAAACTTTCCCTGGATTTTTGGATTTTTTTTTCCTTGTCCTTGTCATAGAATTCCTGCAGTATAATAAGAAATAAGGAATATTTTGTAAGTCTTGCTTCTTAATCTCCACGAATTATGTTTCTTCAGTTTGGGGCAGTGCAGTGAGGAAACATAAATTGAGGTTCAGACATGTAGAAGGTCTGGAGATTCAGTTACAGCTACAGCTGATGGTGTGGAAAACATGTTGTGGCTATACCTATTTCTATGTATTTTTCAAAGTCCTGAGGCAGACAGTCAACAGGAGAAAAGTTCAGGCCAGCATCTGCAAACAGGGGAGCCCTTCAAATCTGTGGCTTTCTGGGCCTTAAGTCTTTCTCTGCCTCAGTTCTTTACTTGAAAATTTGGGAAGACAAGAGCAACTTTTTCACAGAGGGCATTGTGAAAATAAACCCATCATTTATCTCTGAAACATCCTGGCTAATGCAGTGAAATATGCATTTTCTTTCCCAGAACGATTTGAATGATATGCCAAATACAAAGCCTAAAAGCAATAAAGAAAAAGTAATACTGATTGATGCTGCTCATGAACAAACAGTGTCTTTTTTGCATTACTGAATGCCTTAGGGTTCTGGGTAAAAGCAGCAGATATAATGACATATATACTTGTACACCAGGCAGGCAAGTTTTGCTGCACACAAAAAATAACACTGGCATTTCTTAATTTGTTTGTATTTCCCTAGTGCAGTTATCTGTTGCACCCTAAAAGCTATTTAACAGAGCACATATTAACTTGCAGATAGTAATATTTGCTATATTATATTAAGCCACAGAGTTTATGTTTTGAATTCTTCCAACCTATAGAAGACAGACACTGACACTGTCCCTGTGTTCATGAAGAAACTACCCCCTTTGGACATTTGATAGCATACTTATCCATTATGCGATTTTATATTTTCTTCTGAATCATCTATTATTGACAATTGTTGGAGACAGGATATTTGACTAAATGGATCATTAGTCTGATCATTTCCCCAGGTTTCTATGTGAACTGAGGATGCCGTGCCAGCTGAACCTGACAAGCACAGAGACAGCTGAAATTGAGTGAGGGTTTAGAGCACTTCTGCGCCTCACAAACAATGAGACAATGCTCCATGTAAATAGAAATGTTAAAAGCAGTCTCCATTCTATACGGAATATGTAGAAAAGATCAATGTAAAATCTTGACATGGTACTTTTACTTTCCCGTTTAATAACATCAATAAACATCTTCAATATTGATTTTTGCTTATTATTAAAATGACCTAATACAAATACAGACATTAATCCGGATAAATGCAGAGATCAGTATAACTGCACCCAAGAACATTTAGGCCAGAAAAACTATCAATTATTACCAAGACTGGGAAGCCTGACAAAACAGAACTCCACACAGATTTCTACTTGCAGGGCTTTAAAAGCAGGATGATTCCTGAGGTCCACTTAGTTATCATATCCTAGGAAAATCTTCCTTAGACCTTCTGGCTGTGCCTGCACCACTCAAAATCTATTTTTAATTTGAAATATCAGTACAATGTCTGTTAAAATTGTGCCTGGGACAAAGAGATGACCTTTCATTCTGAATCAGGACAGTAAAATACTTTTTTGAAATACTTGCAGATGAGTTGTTCTCAGTTTTGTGAAGGTTGCACAGTTGCCTCCAAAACACTTTTGTCTAATGTATGTTTCTTGCTAAATTTCAGAAATTACCTCAGCAATGCCAAAAAAGGTTTGTCCAGGTTTAATCAGGCTCTGTCAGTAAAATTACATCTTCTGAAGGTGGGACTGTTTTACTATGTGGTAGAGAATCAAGCTAAACTATGCTATATACTCAAATACCAGTAACAACCTCAAAAAGCAGACTCAGAAATAAAATCACAATAGCTTTATTTATGAGAATAAACAGTACCTTTTTCCTGTCATATAAGGCATGGTTATCCAATATCATCTTCTTTTCATGAGTAGCATACCTCCGCAAATCACGTCCAAATTGCTGTAAAAATATTGCAGATATCAAAAATTCTGACAAATCAAAATTGTTACTGTTTTTGAGTTCCAACACCAAATCAAATAATAAACTAATACCTACAAATTAAACAACTATAGTGTGAAAAAGTGGATCATCTGAAAGAATAATGCCTTGAAAGTCAATGGTCCATCATTTCAGTTGATTAGTCAGGGAATAGTTGGGCACTGCATGAGAAAGTAAGCCAGTGATGGGCTCTTACAGTGTGAACACCCCACAACAGATTTGAGAGAAGAACTTTCAAGTAGCCAAACACTTTCAGGATAAGAAGGACCAAAGAGTCTGCAGAACTTAATCTAAGGTCCAAATAAATACATTTTATTAACTCAAAAAAGACAATTGACTGAAGTAACTCATCAGCTTAGCAGGATAATACATCAATTGCAACATTTCTCCTGGTCTAAAACATCCCGTTTCCAATTAACCTGAGTTGAACAGAGTGGCAATGCATCTGTACTACTTCTAGCACAGCAAAAAGATCATTCAGAGCAGGTTAAGGAGCTCTCCTACCATATAGTCACTCCCTAAGAAAATGAGCATCAGAAGACAAGCATGTAGAACAGATTAAAAACTAATTCTGCCCAGGGAGAGATTAATCATTTGATTTCAGCGTTTGCATTTAGATAGAAATTTTTTTAAACAAATACTGTATTATTTTATATTATACCCATTGATTATGTGTCTATCGTGAAAGTATCAAGTTTTCTTAACTTCTTCAAATATCAATTAAAACATAGTTTATAACAAAAATAATGCACAGATTTTAAAATGTGCCATTTTTTCAGGTTAAAAACAATTAATATACTAGTGAAACAAAGCATTTTATCTAATCCCAAAAGAAAGAGGTCAAATGGTTTTCAATTCCCTACTAAACAAATTAGGTTCCGATTCCGAACATGTCTTCCTCAAATATTTAATTTCCTGTAAAAATCTGTGACACTCTCCAAATAATTTCTCCACTCAGTAACCATTTAAATTGCCTGTTAGCGCTAGCATGATGTAAAAAGACAACGCAAGTGACTGAAAATCAAGCTCTTCAGCTCATGAACAGAAACACTAAGATGTGAGGAAAATAGATGTTAACTCCTCTAGAAACATATCCATAGATGTCAGTGAGGACTTCATCAGTTCCAATCTATGATCACACGCTGATGACAGCATGAAATGTGACATGTAGAGAGAAGGAACATTTTTTTAAAACTCCATGAACTCTGCATGGTCCTGCAATAACAAAACTAGGTTAGGAATGCTAAGGAAACATGGACTGCTGTGGTTACTTACCCTGGAGCCTGTCCAGCCTAACAGAGCATATGCATATTGCTCAAAAGGGGCTATGATCAGATCCACACGGATTGCCTTCCAGTCTTTGACTTCTGCCATATCGATATTTTTTGATGTGTTGTAACTGCTGTTGTCTACTCTTGGCTGACACAATTTTAAAATGGCAAAACACTTCTGAAAATTATCCATAGCATCAACTTTTCTGCTTGGTATCTGTTCCTTTAGAAATGTTGATTCGATGATATCACAATATAGGAGTAAGCCCTAAAGAGAAAATATTGCTCACATTGAATTGCTGGACTGGTTTTACTGTAATTCCAGAGTTTCTAGTCAGTTATCTTAAAAATTCATGCAAAATGCAGCTTCAGTAAACACAAAACTGTCCCGGGCTAAATCTGGGCTAAGCAGAAACTTGAAACAGCTGCAGCTTTTGGAAAAATATTAGCAGATCCTTTGAGGGAGATCCACAGTGGTGGTCATTGGATAATGACAAAGTCCCACCCTGTACTAAGGAGGCAATATTTGCAATTTTCCCTCTCAGTTGTTTCCTTCTAAGCCTTTTGAAGTTACGTCAACAGAAATTTCTGAGTAAGGATTGATGCCTTCCCACTTGGCAGACATATAGATAAAAACAGATCTGTCCAGAGCACAGTCTTGCTGACAGATTCCAAACAGAGCATTTGGACCGTGTCTGTTGTGTGAGATTTCCTTTTGACAAAGTCTGGAGTCTCCAGAGATGGAAGAGCTCTGCCCATGCCTTTTGTCTGAAGGAAGTGCACCAAAAAACGGTGATCCTCAAAAGTCAGATTTTATTAAAACATAAAGATTTTTTTTTTTATAATAAAGAACAACCAGAGTAAGAGAAATGGAAGTAATAAGAGCATTGTAAATTAATTCCTTCTAATCCAGTACTATAAGAAATGTTGAATGGAAAGAGGTAGTGCTTTCTTTCATCCTCGCTCTTTAGCCAGCCACCTTTTCAATGACTACTGGCAGTGAACTCTGCACTATCCCTTCTAGGCCCTTAGGAAAAGCATCTTTCTGTGATTCTGCTGGCCTGTCTCTGTGCCTGTTCCTTGCATTCCTAGGCAGCTTCCAAGGCTACTGATTTCCTGGACATCTCAGACTTACCCTGTACTTCCAAAGCTTCTTAGAGCATGTTCAGCTGCCCTCAGGTAAAGTGCAATCTCCCTTCACCAGCCAGAAAACCTCTCATAAAATCATAGAATTGTTCAGGCTGGAAAAGACCTTTAAGATCATTGAGTCCAACCAGTTCTATGCATGGAGATCCAAAGCACAGCACCTTGGACAAGACAAGTAGCAGCCTCCCTCTTGCTGCTGCTCAGCACATACTTTTTAAGAATACAAATTATCAAATACACAATAACGAAGAAATAAAGCAGATATTGTCCATCGCACTGCTTCCTTCAGTCATCCTTGAGTCTTCAGAATAGAAATGGAGCTTGATATGTAATAATACAACAATGTTCACTGTCACTGAAACCATTTCTAGCAGGAAGGCTCAGCTGGCAAAAAGATTCCGCTTTCTGAAAGTGGTTACACATGACAAAAACACTTAAATGCGTGCCTCAGCCTTAATTTAGCTTTTATAGATCCATAAAAATACAGTAAACCACTGTGACCACCTCCTCTAAGGTCCCACTTTCACAGAAAGTAAAGACTTTTGAGATTTGTTTTTGCAAAAGAAATTTCAAAAGAAATTTAACTTTGTTATAAAGGTTAACAACAGTAGTGCATAAACCACTTTCTTCAGTCTATCAAGTGTTTAATAGAAGGAAAACTACTAAGCTGAACTTAGTAAGTGATGTTCTGACTCTACAAATTTATTAGTTTCCGTCAAGATCAACAAGCCTGCAACTATCATGTCTTTTCATATCTCCTTTTACATTTCTTTAAAACCTACACATTGATCAAACCCACTTCTGTTCCTCACTGATGAGATGTATAGACCCTTTTTCCTCAAATTTTCATCATCAGGGTTTCTTTAGGTTCTTGGATCAATTATTTGTCTGTGCTTTGGAGACCCTCAAATGTTTACACATTCTCCTTCCTCTGTACTAGGGATTCTCACTGTAAAGAAGCATGGTCAAGAATTCCTCCTGACTTTACTTACTAAATCCATTAATATATAGTAAAGAATCATACTAGGTTCATGTCGGGTTTTGGTTGTTGGGTTGTTTTGGGGTGTTTGGGGGGGGGGGGGGAGTGTTGTTTTTGGTTTGGGTTTTTTTCTAGTATTGAACTGAGAGTGTATAGAAGTGGTTTTATTTCATGCCTGTTGACAGGTCTTGCTTATTTCTTTTATATAGTGCAATTGTGGTAATTTTACCTGATAATATGTTAAATACCTTGGAGAATATAGCAATAAAATTCTTTTTGTCACTCAGAGGTTTAATTCTGAACAACAAGAAAAGCATAACAAAACCCCTTTAAAAGATATGATCTTCATGAAAAGATGCTGAAAAATATGTAATTTTCAGCCTCCAGGTTTTTGTTGATGATTTGTTCCAAATTAACAATCCCATTATTTTACTGCAAATCAGTCACAGGCTGTTTTATGGGTCATTGTCCAACCTTCTTAATGATAACTATTTGATTTGCATTGACATTCCTTCACTTCCTTGGAATTTTTATAAATTTATAAATCCTCTTAAATAACAGGAAATTACTTACATAGCCCATTCCCTTGGATCACTAGTTTCTAAGTCTGATTATTTGAAAATGCTTAATTTTAGCAGGCACCCTTTCACATCCATCTTTAAAAGAGATAGGAAATTGTTCTTAATTGTACTCCAATGTCAGAAGGCACTGATGCTTGCTATATCCAAATATAGACTCAAAACAGCTGTTGAATGTTAATGCATAACTGATTATTATCTCACTCTTTCTGATGAAACTATGCCTGCCTTCAGGTTAATTTTATCACTTTTAATGCTAAAAATACTTTTATTTTCACTGATCATTAAACAATCGATGACTTCAAGCTTTGATTAAGCACTGGCATTCTTCCCATTCTCTATAAAAATCATCTAGCTACTTCATCAGTGCTTTCTCATCTTTTGCTTTGCTTATCTTTCTGCTCTTTGAGATCTGGGGCATTACATAGCATATCCCAGAACAAATCTAAATTATGTCTTTCATTAGGCAAAATCTTAACCAGATTAAGCTTTGGTAAAATCTTATTTTATAGTTCCAAGTATCTACATATTCAATATCTGTATGACGTTTGTAGACAGTGTGCTAAGATCACCAGTTTTGCACTTTGCCACAGTTTGTATCAGTGTTTCTGTCTTTATTCAAATGAAGTTGAAATAGCCTCATTTTGGTGCAAGAAATCAGGAATTAAAGCCTGTCTTTAGCTGGACTACAAAAGGAATAGAATTTCTACTGTAAGTGCAAAGACCAAGTAGAAGTTTTGTTTCTGATCATTTGAGAAACAGCAAGATACCACAGCCTGCAGCGATTTCTCTCTTCATGGGCAGGAAGAAAGCACCTAGCGAGTGTTTTTTCTCAGTCACACAGGGCCACCAGTAGGCCACACACCTGGATTTTTAGCCTGTAAACTCTGGAGGACATATTATTCATTACCTGTATGTCTGTAATAGATAAAATGTCCTTGACAGAAAATGTTTAGGCCTTTTAAGATGTTCATTTTTAATGTTTCGTCATACATTGTATCCTCTCTTTCACCAATATGTTCATTCTGACACTTAGCTGTGTTATCATCTTATAGATAATGTCTTCTGCATTAGCTTTACTTAGTTTTCACAGTAATTTTTTCCAGCTTGCTACTTGTATATATACAGGAATACAAAGTTATAAATTAAAATGGGGGACATTCGACATATCAGGCATTGAATGGCCTTTATCTGAAGTCATCCTGGTTACCACACTTACTAAAGGTCCTCCCTTTGATATCTCTCAGCTGCTCAAAGAGTAAAATTCTGCCTGTTAAATCACAGCATTTAAAATTGTGTCCTTTTCTTTTTTTTTCTTCCTCATCCTATTTTCATATTTAGGAACTTCAGGGGAATACTCCTTGGAGTTAACACCAAACAATCATGAAGCAGTTGTAACAAATCAGTATTGGAGCCTTCCTACTGCTGTTTTCCTTTGTTGACTAGGCTGCGTCTTCTATTTGAATACATATTAAGCATATGCAGATGGTCACAGTTAGCATGTGTGGCTGGAAAGATATTTTAGGACTGCTTGTCTCTGGGTTATTCTGTAGTGTTTTATCCTCATTTGCTGGCTGGGGAATTTCTAAAGCGAAAAGGAAGACTATAAGAGGATGTAGACTGCTGTAAATATCTACTTCAACTCAAAAAAAAATGCAGTTCGGCAACAATTACACAAGTGCTGAGTTCAACAAGCTGTTGAAACCTGATTCAAAGTCAGGATATCACCTTTAAATAGGAGCCAAATCCTAGATCATGTCCATTGGGATGTTTCTAATTAACCTAATTTGATTAGGCACTGGACATCACCATTACTGCATAAAATAAAGCTGAAGTGGCACTTCTGTATGATTTGAAATAGTATTGCCTGGAGGAGCAGTCAGCTATACAGATTGTGTGAAACTCTGGCTACTGCTAGCTGCAAAACAGCACCCTTCTCATTACTCTGTGTCAGGGAATCTGCAGCTCTTTGCAAATTTCAGTTTGATCTATACACCATAAAGTGCTGTAGACATTGTTTACACAATCAAGTTTTAAAATGTAGGTATTTTCATTTCTCAAATTTACAACACCATCAAAACCAGATGTATGGGTTTAGGGCAGTTATGTTAATACCCACTACCATTTTTCCTTTTTTTTATAGTATTATGGGCTTTTAGTTAAATAGACTGCTGACACATCAATACCATTGATATTGGAGTGAATCCATGATCAAACTGAAGTGTGATTTTTTTGAAAAATATAAATATAATACCTGAAAAATAAATCCAAATATGGTTATTAGCATTGTCTCTTTTAATTAAATGAAATCCTATCCTATTTTTAATGTTGCAAGCTGTCATTATTGAAAACTCTTGGTAGCTGTATTAATTATCTTAAAGCTAAATAGGAACATTTTATACCACCTGAAAATCTAATCCAGTATGATCTTCTGAAATGGATATATGTTGCTGCTCTTCATTTCCTTCTGTTTTTTTTTTTTTTTTAATTAAATTCCTATAGCTAATCCAAAATAGGACGTAGGCATGTTAGTTTGGAAACATCTCTACCTAGGTGATACATACTGAATTCTATAAAGTGGAACAGCTCAAGGAACAGACACCTGGGAGCAGTCAGGCCTGAGGAATGGAGGGATTCCTCTTCCTGAGCAGACAGGGAGAGAGATCATTAGCAAATGGCATCAAAGGATTGATCAGCAATACAAAACTTTGCAGCTCTTGCAGAATCATGCAGCTGCCTTAAGCCCTTTTGCATTTTCAAGTTCCCTGTATGTCAGAATGGTCTAATTCTGGGCATGTCCTGAACCACCTGATTTTGACAGCAATGGACAGACAAGCACCGGAGTCCAGGAATGATGTTTCCCTCTCTGTGGCATGAGCATTTGCACCAGTGAACAAGACAAACAGAAATACATACATGCATACTTTCCTACATACAGATGTACAATACAGACCAGAAAGATCAAATGCTATAAGAAATGCCACTGCTGCCTGGATCTTCACTTAAAACAGAGCAGGAAATGGAACACTTCTGCCTACTTTATGCAATAACCTCACAAGCAGGACAATCAGATTCAACCCATCTTCTGCCTAAAGAAATTTAAGCCAAGTTCTTTCATGTCCAGTGCTCTAACAACCATGCAATAGTCTATTTTAGGTAAGAGTGTCCTCAGCCCCTGCTGAAGATAAGCCAGAATGAAAAAAAAAAATCAAAAAAAAAAAAAAAAAAGTTTAATAACACATTGAGTCAAAAGGTGAGATGTGATACAATCAATACATGTTCATAAAGGAGCTCTCCACCCTTATGGGCAGAGCATTCATCTGAAAAAAAATAAGCTCTTTGCTCCAGCCTCTTAACAATTTCTGTATCTTGTCTTGTAAATAGGTTTTGTTGCTGCTAATATCCAGCTGTCACTCAATAAGGAAAGTGTTGCTATTCTGTGAACCCCATTTCCAAAAAAATGTTTCCTGCAATGAGAAGTGAGACCAGTTACTTGTTCCTCACCATCCACCTTAATGGGACATCAAAACTTCCCCTTCCTGAGCTGTTCACCTCAGTAAGGGTGAATAATAGAGTCTAAACCATACCACTAATACACTGCAATAAGCGTACACAGGCAGGCATCTACATTCTTCATTTTCCTAAAAGCCATAAGAAAAATGCAACATTATAATTACATGAATACAAAAGGAGCAAATGAAAAGTGCAGAAATGCCATTAGCAATGGTATCTCTTCCTTTGTTAAAAGTAACAACAGGAACAGAGCTCAATATAGCTATATAGGTTTTTAAACAAAAAAATTAAAATGTCTTCATACAGTATGTGAATGAAGCTGCATCAACACAGATGGCTCAGCCTGTTTGCCCTCAGACTTCCAAGCTCTAACCCACAGGAGTCATCTCTTAGTTTCTCTAAGAAGGTTTTTGGAATGATTCAAACCATAACCTGTGTACTACATTGCAGCTTTTCCATTTTGATGCTCTACTTTGAGAAGCTTAATGGTGACTTTGTACTATCTGTTCCTTGGCCGATTTTATTGCTGGTGATGCTGTATCAAAGAACATGATGGTGTTGATTTAATCTTAGTTTTCAGCAGCTTTCAATGGAAGGATCTTATTACATTAAACTTTTCAACTAGGAGAAAGGCCTTTTTATACTATTTAAATAAGACTGAGGTCTGTAGTTTAGAAGCTAAACAACGCAGAATCCTTCACTAAGAGCTGCTGAAAGGAAGTCAACATTGTGACCTCAGTGATGTTCTTTGATGAATCTGGGCTTTGAAGCAGTAGCACAAAAGGGGAAAGCTGTGGAAAAGACTACAGGTTTACTGTCAAAAAGTATTAAAGTGCTTTAGATTTGAGGGTTTTTGTCTGCCTTCCCCTCCCCCTTAGAAATCAAAGGTAATAAAAAGAAAGTGGAGTGTAATTCATGTCTTTCTTTTTTGCATTTTGATTTTGCTGGCAGCTTACTTTTTAGTAGTACCAGTAAAAGCCTGTATATTACAACTGCCACAGCAGAGAAGCAGTATAGCTAGCAGTATATAAGCCATAAAAATTCTGGAGGACAAACAGAACACAGGAAATATGTGTCCATACCTTTAAACAATTCCCAGCTTGTTTGGGTTTGGTTTCTATGGCCATTGTGCACCTCCCCTTCTGACATTTTTGTCATGCTGGGATTTCTAAATGAATCCTAACCTTTTCATCAAACCCTTGGTCACCCTTGATTTCCCATACTCTCCCTGAACTCGTTTCTGCTAAATTTTATCTTTAAAAAATCATCAAGAATGATTTATTTTCTACTTATTTTCTTTCAGTTCCATTTAATGAAAGCAGTTCTGAGTGATCTCAAAAGCTTCAGCAGTTGCCAGATCATAGCCACCATTCTAATTCATGTGACTGGAGTATGATGAAATGGGAGAAGGAATAAAAGGCCGCACTCAGGACAGGCTCTATTCTCAGCCTGTTGTCACTTTTCCTTTCTGCTGTGTATAAGAAACATGATTTTTGGAGCACCCACACATGGGTTTCTAGAGATTCAAGTCTGCTTAAGAAGGTAAAAGAACAGCTTCCAAGAAAAAAATGCAACTTTTCTCAGAATAAAGGGAGTAGAATGACTGAGAAAGAAGCTTTACATAAATAATAAAAGATAAAAATAGAGTAGCTCCTCAGCACTCATTAACTGTCACAGCTTCATTGCATTTCATTGGAGCATGATAAAATATACCTGCTAGCAATCTACTTCAATACATACACTTGCTGTAGAGAATTAGGATGGAAGTCACAGAAATCTAAAAAATTAATAATAATCTGTTAACATTTCAAAGACAAAAAGCCAACTGAAGAAAGAGAAATTCAGTCAATAGATCTTACCAGGATAAAAGAAGTTTGAAGCCCTTCCATTAAAGCCAGTTGAAAGATTTTGATTACCTTGAAACAGGTCACTTTCTACAGTCAGCTAAGCTTTTGTCTGGTTGGATGTCTTCCCTGTGTTAACCCATTGCACATTAAGTAAAGTACAGATTTCAAGAATCAATTCAAAAGCATTATTTCCAGGCTATCTGCACTAAAAGCTGACTTAGCAGTGGAGTGTTTGGTAATTTACCTCAAAAGTGTTGGCCTCCTACTTGTTGAAATGTACTCAATTCCTTTGAGCAATACAGGTAGTAAATGTTGAAAAATATCTTAGCTGGCTAGAAAGGTAGAAGAAGAAACAAAAGCTAATTCTTCCCAAGATGCTATATTTCTGACCAGCAATATTTTGCAGTACAGGCATCTGTTATAATTCAGACTCCTCCGACTTTAGAGCTGCTTGAAACTGAAGAAAGCTGAATAGAAAAAAATACCAAGTCCTCTTAGATGAACAATTCCTCTGTGAAAAGTGTGCATTCTTCCAAACTCAGACATCGTGGAAGACTATGTCAGTTTTCACAATATTCCAAAGGAAGCCAGGAAAAATGCTGGTCTGTGGGCTGAAAGGAAGCTAGAATTCCAGGGATTTGGTACCTAAGCTTTCAGACTTGCTCACCTCACATCATGACATCACCTAAATCCACTACACTTAAACCTGGAGCTCCCTGAAGTAGTTCCTACCAGTTCCTACATTGAGATGGGAGAACCTACTCCCATCTCAATGAGAAATTAAATAAATACATTTTTATCTAAAGTATAAGAACAGTTTTCGGTGACACTCAAAACTCCACCTAGCTTGATTTCTTACCTCTGGCTAGCTGCATAGTCCTAGAGTAAAATACAACAGAATGTGTGCGAAGTACTACTCATATAAACTTCAACTTTAGCATTCAGAGCTGGAGGATGCACCTAGATCATCGTTATCAATAATCAAATAGAGCACTATCCAATTTCAAAATATTGCAGTCATCTGTAAAAAGGAGTCAACATTCTTTAAGCACTGCGTAAGCTTAAATTGATGGTGTTAGAATATTTCCTCTTTGGCCAAATGTTATTTAGCTCATACCTGTTTTTTCCATAAGCCAACAACTTTATGCAGAAGTTCATCATCTTCTCTTGGTCCTGGATTGGTGATCAAAAAATCTATATCATGTCCAGTCTTCTTACCCCTAGAAGCAATAAACAATAAGAAGACTAAAAAAAGTTAATTTCCCATTGAATTTCACACTACTTTCAAAAAGAACAGTTTTGCTGCATTATAAAGAGTTTGCAGCGCAAAGTGATAGCAATGTTTTTTGAAACATAATCAGGGTGGAATCTTCTATGTCTTTTGTCAGGAGTGTCAGTGTTCCTCATTAAGCAATAATTTAAGCTTTTTAATGTATTTCCTCTGTTGTTCAACAAGATGGTGCAGGTCCATTTACTGATGTTAAATCTCTCTCTTTCTTCCCTGTAAGTCCCAGAAAAGGTTTCAGTCATCTTTGACAAAAAAACAACAAAAAAACAACCACAAAAATACTGTAGTACATATTATGAAACCAGTGCAGTAATAGCAAATAAAGTTGCCAGTCTGACTACTGCAGCCTTAAATATTCTTCTTCAGCTTGTCATGATGACCCTTTAATGAACAAACCTGTGATTATTAGTAACTTTATTTTTTCTTTTAATGGCAGTTATCAAATCTTTGTATATTTTACATTTCCTCTCTTTTACGATATAACAATGCTTTTTGCAGAAATTGAGCTGATTTTTTATTATTTCTTTTTGAGAACAGCTCACCTTAATGTGACTAAAGCTAGTTCATTACAACCACTAAGGATTTCACAATTAAATCCATATGAACAAAGTTAATTGTAAATGCTCTTAATGGAAAATGATGTCATAACCTTTAACCTTTTGGGTTTTTTTCTTCATATAAGTCTAAGCGGTCAGCTTGCCTTTCATCTACTTATAAAATGTGTTAGAACTAAGTCAGAGTAAGATGTAGCTTTGCAAGTAAGATGTATCATTGCAAAACTGTGCTAGCAGAATGTTTCCCTTCAGAATTATGAAATGAGCATATCTGAAAATCTATCTCGGACTGCAATTCATCTCAGGATTGCAGAACCAAAACTAGGTTTTTAATTTGGTCTAAATATTGCAACAGGGACTGCATACACATCTATTTATTGGCTGTAATCAGGACAGCCTAAGGAGAAAGGGGCAGAGGAGATATTCCTGCAACTAGGTGCAGTATGTAGGAGGTGGGGTAAACACCTGAAATCCGGAGTGGTGGCACTTAAATGATACATATCTCCAAATAGTTTCCATGTGTTCATGGAAAAAGTCTGCTCTTGCTGATGTTCACAAGGGTACTAGATGTTATAGCGCAGGTGTGTTTCAGTTCAACACCATATCCAGTATTCAGAGAACTTGTGAATTGTTACAGAAGCAGTGAAAATGGAAACTGTACAAAACAAGATTTGCTTTTTATTATTTCATTAAATAATTCATTCTCCTAAAATAGTGCCTGAAACGGAATCTGATTTCTTAAATTTGGAAATAAGTAGGAACAGAACTGATTGGCAGACATGTCAACTGCCATTTGCATGACAGGAAATTATCCAATTGATAGAGAGCTGAACAGCTTTAGCAGCAAGATGTAAGGAAATTCAAATCTAGGTTTTACATTTGACAAGCAGTCTACTCACTATAATGCAACTATTGTGCCATGTCTGCAGCAAAGTCAAAACTGCTTAAACAGGTGGAAATGATTTCAAAAGAAGTCTCAAATGAAGCACCAGTCTAGGCTCAGAAACCAAACAGCAATTCAAACTCAAGAAGTTAAAAAACATTTAGTATTCCATGTAACAGTTCCCAAGTTATTTTGTAAGATGACATTCATTATCTCTTAAATTACCATAATAATCCAAAACTCTTACATAGCATTTTTTACTTGCATGTCTCAAAACGTTTTTTTCAAAGGGAAGAAATATACTGTTTCCAGCTTAGACATGCAGAAAGTGGCATAAGAAAACTTGTCTGAAATCACTAAAAAAAAAAAAAGAAAAAGAAAGAAAAAATCGAAGGAAGAAATAAGAAACTGATGGAATTGGGAGCCGCTTCCTAGTTCATCCTCTGATACTCAACACATACATATTTTAGGTTAACCACATATAAAAAATCCTCCTTCGCTCCAGCTGTCAAATCCAAGAAATTCCAGGTGTTTCACAAACCATCTATTTCTCAAGACAGAGAGCATTTATTGAAGTGCTTTTTATTTGTGAAGTTAGTGTGTTTAAATATGATATAAAGACACAGAATATAGTATCACTGTTAGCATCAGTTATATTTCAGCTTCTCTTTGAATTAATTCACAATGGATTAATTTCTGACTGAATTTGTCAGGCTATTAATGGAACGTTTAGTCTAATTTCCACTAGCACTCTTTACCAAATAATGTATTTCATCCTAGAAAAATGTATTACCTTCCTTAAAATAGAAAAACAATCTAGTAAATGAAAAAGCTGTATAATACATATTGCTCAAGGCTTGTAAATAATGCAAAAAGGTGCAGTAAAATGCACATAGATTCAGACCATTGTTATATTGAAGCTGAAGACAATGTGGCCATTGGTTTCAGCAGGGTAATGCTATTCACATGTATATATTTATATATTTGTGTGTGCACACATATAAACTTAGAACCATGGATATTCATGAAAGTACATAAAGGGCACATAGGATGGGATAGTGCCAAGGTGCTCTTTTCCCAGCTCAGGAAGTATGTAAACATGTATTTTGTTTGTCAACAAATAACTCTATATGTACATCAACAGTTAATTGAAGCTGAAGCTAACCGTATACCTAAAGATTAGCTATGATACAGGACTTTATCATATAAAAATTAAACACCGTGGTGCCAGCCATCTGTTCTTCAAACTGAAGTTTTGTCCTAATAATGTATTCAAGTCTGAAGACTGCAAAAGACAGAGCCCTGCTAATTAACTGTGTTCATTTCTTGGCTGATTAAACTTGTATAATGTTGGTGTTTCTTAGAAGTTAGTTAATTACCTTTAAGGTTGTTGGCATTTTCTTTTTTTTATTGCTGTTATTGTTTTAATACAAAATCTAGATTCCAAGTCATCAAACAAAACTATCATTATAACTAAAACTTAAATATATGACTGAATGGCAAAGGCTAATCATATTGTCTAAATCTACAAGGACAGCTGCATGATTAAATATTTTATAGTAGTCTGTGTACAGAATATTTTGAAATCCCAGGATATTATATAATGGCTACTCAAATCCTGTCTATTCTTTATTCATACAAAATTTCCATTTGCATAGTGTTGCATTATAAGTGTTGAAAGAGATCGCATGGGTGCTAAATCCTTCAGTGTTTATACACAAATACGAACTTTACACATGAAAACACCACCACTGATATCGGAGGCATTAATCACTTGCATGATGTCAAACAAATATATTTAAGAACCTGGAAGACTAACAGCTAACAGGTGCTCATTTCCAACATCTGATCAACTATATTAAATAATAAAGAAGCACAAATTTATGTGGGGTTCCTGGAATTAAACAACTTAATTGCATAGAATTAATTACATAATAAATCTTCAAATCATAAAATCATGTGACTGCTCAAAATAGAACTTATGAAGTGAGGACAAATAATGGAAAACAGAAACAGATTTGACATAGATATGTCAGGCTTCTTTCTATTTAACTGAACATTATATTCATGTTAAAATTGCAGGAAAATACTGATTGTGGAAGAAGGCATATGAACTCTTAAACAGTGGGTATTGGCTAATATTTTGAGCCAGCCAGTTTGATGAAACTGGACTGTATTTACTAAAATAGTACGATAATACGAATATTCAGATGTTAATGGCTGTTTTACCCAGAGAATTTGCAGCCTTTATATGGAGTAAGTAAAACCTCATAGCTGTGAAATAGGTTCCTGAGAATGACTGCTATCAGGAAAGACAGCAAAAAAAAAATCAAGCCATCAGGAATTGCTATGCAACCAATATTCACCATAAAACTGGTAAGATTTTTTAAACTCTCACTTTCCTGACCTTTTTATTGTATAACTGCACTTTGGCACAGAAAGCTAAGAAAAACAGTAGAAGTAAACTCAGACTGGAACTCTGGCCTTAGATAGAATGTTGGAGAGTATGCACAAAATATCAGAGGGTATAACTTTCTCCTCCTTCCAAAGAGCTCAGATGAAAAGTGAGCCTTCTGAAATTCATTTGTATAGCAAGCTAGATGCTAGCTAAGCATCTGAAAGACAATACAAAAAATAACAAGTCCTTTATTTGTGGAAGGAAATATGGGAGTTCATTACATGTTAAATTAAGCATCATCATCTCTGCATTCTTCTTTTGGGACACACAGGGAGAACAGCTTCTAGACAGACATCCCCAAGAGATTTGAAAACATGCGAGGCCATTTGAATATTTCCTTGAATATAGATGAGCAATATGCATAAACATCTAGGAAGACCAAATTCAATTGCTGAGGTGATGATTGTGTGGTAATGGAAAAGGGATTAAATGTTGCAGAAGATTACACACAGCTGAAGGAATGGACAAATTGTGATACAGCACAATGAACATTTGTTTAAGCAGCAAAGAGAAAGCTTGGATAAACAGCAGAATCACTCCTTTTAGATAGAGCAGACTAATAATTAATAAGTACTGTAAAATGTATGTTCCTGAGGGAAAACTCTAGCAGCCTCTAGTAGCATGCATAGTCAAATATGTAATTACAGCTATAATCAAACATGCACACACATGCATACATAGTTCAAAGATTTCTTTCTGACTATTCTGATATTGATGCCACATTTTTACTCTAGGAAGATATTCTCTACACTAAGTCTGATTTAACTCTCACTGTACTAGCAATGAAAAACATCATTTGACATCGAGTTTGTCCAAGTAGAAGTGGTATGGTAAATCTGTCTCTAATAACCACAGTCCTGATGAAGGTACTTCTATTACCTGTCTCCTACCAGCATATGCCTTCTCAGAGGAGAAACAAAAATTTTAATTCCAGATCTCAAGCAGTCTGCATGCTTGTGGATTTGCTCATTTCAAGGTCTCAGCCTTTGCTGAGATACATGTGACTTTTATCTGGTAGAAGTGTGATTCTGTTTTGG